GGACGCCTCATTGCGGCTGCTGCGAGGCAGCGACGCTCCTCGCTAATTTAATTAAATGCTCGCTAGGAAAGGAAAAAATTAAAAAATCTTACTAGAGGAGCGCTGCAGCGGGATGAGAGAAGGTGCAGGGAGGTGGGCGAGAAGGACCCTGGGCGGGTGCTGCCCCCGGTCCCCACCAGACAGAGCAAAACCAGCGGCGTCTGCAGGGCTGAGGCTGACACAGCACCAAGGTGTTTTGGGGTAGGAAGGGAAGAAGGTGGTAGAGAAGATTTCTCTCTCTGGCGCTGCAAGAGTGTGGGATGGCCTCAGCCCCAGCCCTGTCCACGTCCCCTCTCCCCATTCTCATCCCTGTCTTGTCCTCATCCCTGTCCCCATCTCCATTTCCATATCCATCACCATCCCCAGGTCCCATTCCCATCCTTATTTCCATCTCTGTCTCCATCCTCATCCCTGTCTCCATCTCCAACTCCATCTCCATCTCTGTCTCCATACCCATTTCAATTCCCATCCTTATTTCCATCCCTCTCCTCATCCTGTCCCCATCCCTGTCCCCATCCCATCTCTGTCCCTGTTCCCCCCTCCTCTCCCAGCAAGAGCTGCCAGAGGACACCGGGCAGAGCCCAGCGGGGCTGTGCCTTGGCCGGGGCCCAGGAGCTGCTCATTTCCCTAAAAGCTTCCTGATAAATTACTCCCGCTCTTGCTCTACAAAAGGCACTTTGGCTCATGCTCCTTCTTTGGACGCAGCTCCTCGCCCCCCACCCCACGGTACCTGGGCCCTGCCGGGGATGCCGAGTCCCAGCCACTTCCCCGCAGCATCCCCGGGGAGCTGGGTCCCAGCCCTGGTCCCGCTCCAGCGGTTCCCCTGCGCCAAGTGGCTCGCTGCAGCCTTTTTCCTCGGGTTTGCCCCGCAGTGATACATGCCATCATTACAGCGCCTGACACCGCGCTGTAAAATACACCCCCATAAACGCCCGTGATTTACAGGCTCCTACAAGTACCTGGGAGTTACACGGCTCCACAAATGCACAGCACTGTGCGAGCGATGCTCGTCTTGGCCCTGACGACCAGAGAGCGCACAAGCTTTTGCAGGAAAACCTGATTTTAATTAAAATTACCCCTCCTTGCCAGCCCCTCTCAGCCTCCCCGGGCAGGCTGGTGCTTGGCAGAGAACACTCCTGCTTTACTGGGAGTTTCTGCAGCGGGAGCAGCTCGCTCATGGGGAGTGAGGAAGAGCACGGAGGGGCTGCATCTGCGTCTGTGTTTTGCACCGTGACTTTCATTTCCAGTTTGGCTTTGCAACTCACCCACGAGGGGGGGCTCCCTGCTGCTCCAGCCTGCTCGGCCACAGAGGCATTTTTCTATCAAATTGAAGTTGGACCTAGGGAGCGGTTTCAGAGCCGTGAGGATCGTGGGTGTCGGGTAAAGCAACACCTCCCGGCCCAGCCACCCTCCCCAGGATGCTCCAATACACAGAGGGACCGGAGCACACAGCACAGGGATGGGGCCTGGCAGTTGATGAAAGCGGGTGCCCAAACACAGGTGAGGAATGGTGAAGCGTTTTGAGGGCTGATTGTGAAACAGGCAGCGCACGCCTCCCCGCCGCCCC